CGTCGTATGAGCATTCGGATGATTGCTGACTGTAAATTCCGATAAAGAAACTGTCAGAAAAATTTTACACGACGAATTAAACATGAAGAAAGTCTGTGTGAAGTTGGTTCCAATAAATTTGACCCCTGACCAAAAGTTCGTCCGTCAACAAATCTGGTCAGTTTTTCTTGAGAGGTTACATGAAAAGCCTGAATTAATGGAAAACATCATCACCTGCGATGAAACCTGGCTATTCAAATACGATGTTAAAGCCATGCTAATCGTTTTTTTTTTTTTTCGACATTAACGGCATCGTGATGACTGAATGGGTTTCAGAGGGTCAAACTGTAAACCAAATTTACTATTTGAAAGTTTTGGAAACGCTGCGAGAGCGAGTTCGTAAGAAACGGCCGGAGTTGTGGAAAAACAAGCCGTGGATCTTGCGCCATAACAACGCACCTGCTCATAACGCGCTGTCTGTGAAGCGTTATTTAGCCGCTAGAGGCATTCCAGTGCTCGATCACCCGCCGTACTTGCCTGATTTAGCACCCTGTGACTTTTTCCTGTTTCCGAAGAGCAAGTCTACCTTAAAAGGAATCCGGTTCGAGTTGATGGAAGAGGTGAAGCGAAAAAACGGCGGAGCTCTTAAAAGCTCTAACAAAAGAAGACTTCCAGCATTGTTTGACCAATGGAAAAAAAAAACGAATGGAACGGTGTGTGGCGAGGGAAGGGGAATATATTGGGGAATATTTTAAAATAAAACTCTTTTTCATAAGCAGTCTTGTTATTTAATAGCCAGACCTCGCATGGTAATTATATATACAGGTTAATAAATATAAATATTTATTAAGCCCCAATAATTTCGAGTAAAATTTTAGAAGGTGACATGATAGAGTGGGGATCTCTTACAAGCAAAGATCTGCTAGCTTGAGTCAAATTATTCGAGAGAAAAACACACTTTCTATATTTCTATCAAACAAGTAACATTGTACTCTTCGTTTAGAGAATAATTTATATTTTGATTTTGTGCAATTTCAAGAATTTCATTAGACCCTATGGTACCAGATAATATAGAATTCGGAATTCATATAGACCTAATAGTTTGCGCACAATAACGTTGCAGATAAAGCTTTCTGGATAAACAATTTCAATTTTGCAATAACTGTTAGGTGAAACTTCTTGAAATTTGTATAGTTGAATACATCTGATATTGTCCCTATTATCACGCGAATTAAAGTTTTTTGTGTATTTTTAGAAAAGTTATTAATAATTTTCAAAAAATCGACTTTGAAGCTATTATTGGAATAATTGGAAAACAAATTAACAAAAATAACTTTACAAACTCTCTTTTTAAAGAATTTTCTTTGCTTTTTCAGTAAAATTGTGTCACTTTTTCATATAATTTACCGGTCTTCACCTTTAGTATTTAAAATCAAATATCTAGCTTACATTGTTTATAAGTAAAAAATGGCGTTTAATCTTTTGCATATTTTATTTATATCTAAAAGCATCAAATTTATCAAAAGCAATTCGTCGCTAAGATGTCAAAACCCTGTATCTCAATTTTCGATGGTTTTTCGTTTTTTGTGTGGCCTATATTAGGAAATCGAGCCGCATCGATTGAGAAACCTCTTATTACAAAGCATGTAAAATTGCACCTCCGTCACTCGAATTTAGAAACCTTGTATCTCACATGTTGCGCATGAAACCACGTAAGTCAACACGTGTCTGAAAAATTGATAAATACTGAATAGTTTTGTGCAGTTATATAGGCTTAAAAAGAATTATATCAGTTTATTAGAAGCTGTGATAAGTGAAAACATTTTAATACTTTGTTTTAATAATACGTAGACGCATTGTTTTACATTAAACAGAAATATAACTATTATTGTTCCAAAAAATTTGAGGTTATGATGACTCAATTATTATATTTCAAGTGATCAACTAAAACAAATTATATAAATCAATTAAGGAAAAGCAAAAACTTGTCAGTTGGTACAAGAATTTCCAAAATAATGTATTACAATAAATTTTTAAGTGAAAAATATTGTGATACGAGGTTTCTTTGGAAACAAAATAAGTATTTTTTGTTTTATTTTTAGGCAAGCCGGGCTTTAAGAATGGTCAAATCAGCACTAGAAAGTCTAAAACGGATTCTGATATTGAGCAGAATGAAAGTACTACTACAATCAAAATTTACATTCTAAAGAGATCGCAGAAGAAGAGATAAAAGTCCCAGAACTTAAGAGCTGTCATGTAGAAGATTGGAAAAAAGCAAATACAGGCTTTGAACAAGTTTATGAGACCTTTCGAGAAGAATCCTTGAGTTTCCAGCACACTGCTTTTAACCCAAAGAGTACTGCTATTAAAACAGGATCTCATTTAAAAAATGACAACCAAAGCAGATGTTTGGCTAGTATTAATATAGAAGATAGTATGAATGTTGATGTCAAGGACAGTACTCAGATGGAGAATGTAATTAGGGATCTAACTTTGAATATAGAAAATATCAGTGAAGATGACACTATAACACCGATATTGAATTTGAAGAACCTTTCGAAGGATCAGAGTCAAGTTATCATCCAAATAGTTCGTCGGATTCTGAAGATGAAGCTGTAAATGTCGCCAGACGCAAAAAAATTAAAGCGACGACTAAAGAAGTAGACGCTCTTCGAGAAGAAAAAAATGAGAAGAGAAAGGCGTAGCAAAAAAGGCAAAGCAGATTCTTCTACTTGGGAAAGAAATGAAAAAAAATGTTTAAGAATGCGTGGTAAAGAATATAGAGCAAAAAAGAAGGAGAAAGATGGATCTATAATTACCATAAAGAGAAACTCCCGGGAAATGAAACCAAGATGTATTTCAGCAAAGTGTTTAGCAGCAAAAGAAAAAAGAAAATGTTCAATGATAACTGATGATCAACGAAGGAAAATTTTTGATGGGTTTTGGTCTGAGATGGATTGACATCAACGAAAGATATTTGTGTGTACGCTAGTTAATAAACAGCCAACAGTCCAAAAAAGAACACAAAATAAATCAAGGCGTAATTTAAGTTTATTTTATCATTTGAAAATAGATAATACCGTAATTCCAGTTTTCAAGAAAATGTTTCTCTCCACATTAGAATTGGGTGAATGGAGTGTTCAAAACTGAGTGAAAACTAGTTGTGACGCGGGTATCCCAAAAGTAACTACTACTACTTTTCATTCCAAGATTAAACCTGTCAATATTGAACGCAGAAATAAAGTTAAAGCATTTCTTGAAAAACTGCCAAAGATGCCCTCCCATTATTGCCGTAATGAGTAAACTTTATTTAGAAACAACTTTTCAATCATATAAGAAAGTATATGACGTATACAAAAATTATGAACCACAATCTGCTGTAGGATATGATGTTTTCTTAAAAGAAATGAAAAACACAAACATTGATGTGTATCATCCAAGGAAGGACCAGTGTGATTTATGTTTTTCGCATAAACTGGGCAATGTAGAGCAAGAAGATTATGAATCGCATATTAGCCAAAAAGATCGCGCTAGAAAGGAAAACATCAAGGATAAAGAAGATGCGTTGGAAGGAAAAGTGTGCGTGTTTACGATGGATGTACAAGCGGTCCAACTTGTCCCTGTCGTCCCAGCAGGCATGGTATACGTTAAACAGAAACTAGCATGCCATAACTTCACCATCTATAATTTAACAAATAATAAGGTAGATTGTTATGTATGGCATGAGGGAGAGGGCAAAACGGATGCCAACTCCTTTACATCTTGTATAATTGATTTTTTAAATGAAGAGTTAGATGCCCAAGAAAAGGACAAACCAAAATTTTTTTATAACGGATGTTCTGCACAAAATCGCAACGTAACATTGGCTAATGCACTTCAGCATTTCTGCAACGAAAATGATACGGTAATTATATAGAAATATTTAGTTAAAGGTAACTCGCAAATGGAGTGCGACAGTGTGCACTCCACCATTGAAAGAAAGAAAAAAAATAAATGCATTTACTCACCATCCAATTATGTGGAAATAATTAAAGAGGCCCGTAAAAATTTCCAAAATCCATACAAAGTTAAATACATTGATCACCAATTTTTTAATGACTATTCCGAAATTAAGTATTATTCATCCATTCGTCCAGGAAAAAAAGTGGGAGATGTATGCGTGAATAATCTGAGGGCTCTCAGGTATTCCAGAGATTTGCCTGTCCAATTCAAACTAAACTTTGAGGAGAAGTGACAGTTTTTACCAGTTCGCAAAAATACGAATAATGCAGGAATCGTAAGAAAAATGTATAATGACCATTTGCCCATTACAGAAGACAAATTTAATCACCTGCAGTCTCTTAAGACTGTTATTCACCCAGATTATCATGGTTTTTATGACTCGTTGAAGTACTAATTTTTTGTTTTCAAAATATGGAAAATAGTTGTGTTATTTTATTTTATATCAGAGTACTTATGTAACATGTTTGTTTTATTTCTTATTTAAGAATAAACATTTTATTTTTCTTTTGTAATATTGTTCTTTGCGTGTAAAAAGGAGTAAGAGGGCTGAAAATATGCTACCAAAACCTCCTAATACCTGAAATTAAATACTATTTAAATTTCAAAAACTCGTATCTCACGATTTTTTTCCAAAAAAATCTAACTCTATTTTTTTCGAGTTTAATCACTATCACAAATAATTCATTTCGTGGAACTACCCACATTTCAGAAAAAAAAAATAACTTTAAAAGTTATATTTTCTACTATGGGAAGTTTTAGGTGATTTCTCAAAATACACTAATTTTGAGATACAAGATTTTGACATCTGAACGACGAATTGTTAGATACTTGTATCACAGAAGGTTCGTTTGTTAAATTCTCTGGTCTATTACGATCACTTAGAAATAGTGACTGAAAACAAACCATAAACGTTCATGGAAACAATGTATGTTGTTCGTTAACAACCTTTTCTTTTATTCACTTCACTCCTAGTGTCACATTTGGTTCTTCATATTGAGTACAAGCACATATTGACTTACCTGTTCAGACGACGGATCCGGATAGACTTCAGACTGTCTAAGCGTCCAATAGAGCGATGCTATATCTATCGATTCGTTCGCTGAATTTATCAAATCTAACCATGTATCAAAAGTGGAAGGGTATATGATTGACTCGTTTGGATAAACTAGGCCCTCGGGAATGCTTTCCACCAAAGACAATCTGGAAGAGATATAGGTATTCTAAATGAATGATGAAGAGATAGTTTTGTTCTATTAATGCTGCGATGAAAAGATCAGACTATCTAAATATTATTTTAGCTTATTCTCTTGATCGGTATCTGATTTTCAAGCAGCCTCGTACGGGAACAACCTTACGAATTTTAAATAAATATTAACTCCCGTTTTGAACTACAATATATCATTAATCTACAGTTTGGGCTGTTATCAAAACCAAAGTTGCTGTCAGCAATACCTTATTAGCGTGTAACGGTTTGGAGTAAGCCTCCACCCCAAAAAAATAAATATTTAAAGAACAATCGATACGGAACCGAAAAGAAAATTGGTAGTTCTCTACGATTTTTATTAGCCTCATCGTTATTCAAACATTATTATCTGTGAAAAGTCATTTATCATTCATAATGGACAATTTGATTTACTAATAATGGTGAAATATGATAAAATGACTAAAAAAAAGAACTAGACAATCTGGACATGTTATACCGTTTATACTATAGTTTTTGTTTAAAAATATTAATAAATGTTGTCAATAGTACTGACTATTAAGTTTTGTGTCTGGGACCGATTAAATACCAGCAGAATTCGTAAAATATGCTAATATTGCTAATAACGCTTATATCACAAGAAAAAGTATCTGGAAGGAAAATACCTACATTTATAAGAAAAAAAAACTTCTGACACAATAGGCGAATACTTAAAAAAGCCAATGTCAAGACCATTTTCAAGCCTATAAAGAAAATCAAGGACTGTCTAAGATCAGTTAAGGACAAACGCGACCCATTAGCAACGACTGGAGTATACCGAATACCATGCACATGTGGAATGGTATATGTGGGAACCACAAAAAGACACAAAAACACAAGGGTAAACGAACATGAAAGCCATTGTCGTTTAGGACACATCGACAAATCTGCCGTTGCCGAACACGCTTTGAGAAGCGGAGAACATCGGATACTCTTTGAAGAAACGCAGATGCTGGATAAAACATCCCAGTACTACCCACGGTTATATCGGGAAGTGGTGAAAATATATAAGCATCCAAATAATTGATCGGATAGAAGGCCTAAAAATTAACAAAACATGGATACCAATATTAAAATTCACAAATACCCTTCCTGCAAAATACGAAAAGCAACGAACGACGACATGCTCCCCCACGCCGAAACCAGTGGAGGGGAGGCGAATAGAAAATATAAATATTGCCTCTGTAGCAACGTAAGCTGAAACTGACGTTGCGTCAGTTTCAGCTTACAAGCGAAGCAGTAACATCTCCAGAAGATGCCAACCCCTAGTGTTGGCGAAACGTCGAGAACTAATCTCAGAAAACAACGGCCTAACAGCCCGAACAAACAGTTTAACAAGTTAGACGATGGCCGTGAAAACTTAACGCATTTTATCAGGTCAATAATAGATCAACTATTCAGATTGAGTCAGCTTTCGTGGAAAAAGATGAGAATTTCACAGTCCCATCAATAACACGTATATTAAAAGTACATAGATACAATAGATAGACTATCCCAAAGGTAACGCTTTATCATCAAGAGTTGAAATTATCATGTAAATTATCATGTAAATTATTATGCTCCTGTACCAAATTTGTTAGTCTTTGAAGGCTATCTTTATTTTGAGCTCTCGATATTGCGTTGTCTGCTTAACAGAGAATTTTAATTTCATTGCTCCCCGTTATGTATCCTCTTCCTTTATTGACGCTCTTTATGACTTCATCCACAATTATATTGAATAGCTTATGGCTTAGTGAATCCACTTTTCTTATTTCATTGCCTGTATCTATAGGTTCCTTAAGTTTTCCATATATTCTGACTGTCATATTTTTGTTTTGATAGACGTTTTCAATTATTTGTATAATATTCAGAGAGATCTGATTATTATACATACAAGCAATATACTACATCTTTAAGTCTTACTCTGCCGAATGCCTTTTTGAAGACAATAAGTAGGAATGCAGGTCTGTTATATTCTAATGTTATATCTGCATTTCTGGTGTTTATGATTCCAACGTTATTTGTTGTTTGTATACAACTTATTTATATAGCCAATCATTGTATCCTTTTTATTGTGTTTCGGGTCTATTAATTTCTTCACCTCCGCTCTTTGATATAAAACCATAAAAATAATGCTCCAATTCTTTTAAGAAGCGTTCCCAGTGCTCGTTTTTAATTCTTTTTACAATATCATGTGTCTCCTTTCGTATTCTCTTGTAATCTTCCTACTTTTTGACTTTTTAGTTCAACTCTATAGAACAATGGAGTTTCTGGCTTTGTTAGAGACTTGCATATATTTATCTTTCTTTCGCCCGGAGCGTCTTTAGCTGTGTTAAGATGTCAGCTTTAATTTTTTCCCAGCTTTCCTCGACTTCAGTGCTTTGGAGTGTACTTATGTCGTCCAAAAAGTAAAGAACATTTTGGCATAAAAAATTACAAACAAAAGATACCAAAACAAAAATTTATTTACAAAGTGACAGTCCCTTAGGTGCCTTCGTTGTATGGTGCATTTATAGTTTTTCGATGGCGTTAGTGTTGTACCGCCAAACGACTGAAGCAGGATATCATTTCATCTTTGGACTTCTCGTTGTTTTCAAACTCCTTTCTACCCAAGAATTCAGTTTCAGGAACAGATGATAATCGGAAGGTGCGAGGTCTGGACTGGAGTGAACATGAACGGTGAAGTTCTTATCGATGCATTGTCGTGAATCAGAAACACCTTCGTCGACAACATTCCACGTCGTTTCTTCTGTATTGCATGTTTTGGTCATTAAAGGATTTCGCAATAGGCTTCTGAATTTATTATTACACCTCTAGGCATAAACTCTACATGAATTAAACCATTACATTTAAAAAACGAATTACACTGCATATTACACATTTGACAGGATTTTTAATGGGCGCCGCTATTTCGAAATGTTATAAAACAAAGACGCGTGGCCACATAGTAACGAGACTTGGCTCACACCGATGCGACAGAAAAACTGGCGCGCACGAAATCGCAGCGGTGAGGGATCGACATCGCGCGTTGTGCGCAATCGTTGTTTACTTTCTGGACGACCCACTTATATGTGTTTCCGCATTTTTTGCTATTCTTTTTTATACAAATAGCTTGTGTTGTCCTACAGATTTTCAACAACTTTTATCTTGATGGTGTATTCTGCAGTTTTATTTTTATGAATATATATATATATATATATTATATATATATATATATATATATATATATATATATATATATAAATATCAAGGACAGTAATGGGTTACTGGTAAACAACAGACAGTTGAAGGTAACCGGGAATGACCCAATACTAAGGAAGCAATAAAAAACAGGTGCTTCAAAGTGAGTGTCTTTTATTAGTAGTCAAGCTTTCGCCACATAATTTTGGGCTTCATCAGAACTTGCTGTAATGGAAAAACATTCTTTACAATCATCGTAATTAAAGATGTTATTTTTAATATTACCTTAACGTTGACACTATTTCTTAGTGTAAATTATTGCAGATGTGGAACTACACATTGTTTTCCAAATACAAACAAAAACGCATCTCCTACTTAGAGGAAGACGGCAAACAAAGCTTAAATTAAATAATTATTAAATTTGTTATATTTTAATCACCATATGGCCGGTATTATTTTTGACAAGACAATTGTTAATTAAGTCATGTGTCATATCGACTGTCATTGTGACTGACATTATTGTGACTGAATAATGAATTTCGTTTGAAATCACAATTAAAATTGAATATATGTATACACACATATATACATCCATATACACATATACACATATATACATATGCACACACACATACATGTGTATATAGTTCCCGTTCTATATAAGCATATCATGTTTAAAATTCATTCGGTTTGTATTTAGTGTTGTATATAGTGGTCAACACTCCGGTAAGATGTATGTATTACATACCTTCCATTAGAGAACTAAGTGTATCATGATGCTGATGGATATAAAAATAAAAATAAAAGTTGGAACTTGTTCTCAAAAGGGAAGTAATACATCCGGATAGATGTTTGTGTATATCACAGATATTTCGTTGTTTTTTTACATTCATTTATGTTAGTAGTATAAACACAATATGTCCAAAGAAGGGTCGGACATTTACAGATATGCTAAGATTTAAAAATAGACAATATAGTCTAGTTGACTGACATAAAAATATACAAAAGGAAAAACATTGTTTGTATATGATGTTAAGTTGTAAAATTTTTTGTTTTTATTTAAAATTATTAACATATTGACTTGTAAGTTAAATTGAATAGAAGTATAAATTTAGTGCAGGCAATCAACTAAGTCATAAGAGGTCGAAATACATCAAACGTACGATTCAGTGAAGTGTGGATCAGCAATTTTATGTAATTCTCGTTTAAGAAGGTGGTAGTTTTTTATTTTTAGTGAATTTCTGTTGCAAAACATAAGTATAGATGGAACTCAAGTTATCAATATCTTTTTTGTGGTTTAATGAATTAGAACAATTACTGATGTAACACATTTCTAGGATTTTTCGATGAGCTTCTTTTTCAGCTCTATCTAGAATTATAGTTTCATTGTATAAGACCCGATGGTCATTATCGTTGACATGGATACTCAAACTTGTTGCTAGGGGTTTGTGTTTACAATCAATTTTGTGAAGGGCTAGGCGCTTACTAAGTCGTTGACTTGTGTGGCCTATGTATATTTTGCCACATTCACAGGGTATACCATAGATTACGTTGCAGTTTTTATCTGGTGGAACAGAATCTTTTAATTTAGAGTAGAACAAGTTGAGTTTTTTTTTGACAATTGACTAAAAAGTCTAGTTAGAGATTGAGTTAAACCTTCAATGTAAGGTAATGATCCATACTTCACCTGTACGACGTCATCAGATGTCGACCGATCATGAATAGATAGCACGTGGCGATATATCTATTGACGTATCGATAAGTGACAGTCGATATGACACATGACTTAATTAACAATTGT